TATAGTTTATTTATAAACAGGGCCAAAAACCGTCAAGTTTAACACTAATTTTATACCGATTACGAAAACAACGGCCCAAATTATTAAGCTTGATCTGCTTGACTATAGTTTTCATAAATAAGTTCAAAAGGACCCATTTTATGTAACTATTATATGACTATCTTATGACCCATTAACAGAAGTATTTATTTGAAAATTCGCATCCTTAAGCGAAGGCCACACCGCGAACGATGCTAGCTAACTTAGAGTTTAGCTCACATAGTTGCATGCAACCAACTATCCCAGCTAAGCTAACTTAGCTAGCTTAGGGCCTTCACAGTGCGACGCGGATGACCTACGCGGACGTCCTTTGCGGTTACTAAAATGTATTATATCTATACAGCACATTCAGTGCGACGCGGTCGCGGAGAGCTATCCGCGCGCGGACGGAAACCATCCGCGCCGCTACTCCGCGTACGAACGTGCAATGGTTCTTACGTAGTCATTTAGTGCACGGGGCGGTCGGTTGCGAGGTACTGTCATGGTCATGGCTGCGTAAGTTGAAACCGAGAGGGTTAAAAGGTACGACTTCGAATATCTGTGGAATCTCAGCGACGATTATTACAAAAATAATTTTAAATGTAGTGATTTTAAACCTAAAACTCCGAAAACAAAGATACAAATTCTCCTTTGGAAAGCATTTTCGCCACGTTTCGGTGCACATTAAACCTTCTTTTACCATGGCACCGTTTTTTACTTAGTAAGTAGGCGGCAATGACCACTTTAAAAATTTTATCCTTAACTGTACCACGCCCGATCACGATCCGCGCGGAACTGAACGACAATTCATCCGCGACAGACTCGTCCGCTCGTCCGCGCACGAACAGTCCACGTCGCACTGTAAAGACCCTTAGCTCACGTATGTGCATGCGAAGCTAAGCTAAGAAAATACATAGTACGTAAGTAGTGCCTATGGATGCCCCGGCCTAATTCGCGATGTAGCCTGTGCATTATATTGACATTTAAACCTAAACGTATTTCTTTCCAGTGGCCTAGACAGCTCAATATCAAAACAAATGGTATACCTACTCCATCTGTTAGCGAGGCAAGGTAGGACAGTGGTAGCGACAATGCATCAACCGTCTGCATTGCTTCTAAATATGGTAGACCGGCTGTACGCGGTTGTGGCTGGACGGTGTGCTTACATGGGCTCTGTAACTATGTTGCTGCCTTACCTGAAACATGTAAATTTGACCTGCCCACCGTACCACAATCCTGTGGATTTTTGTGAGTAGCCAATGTGATAATCTGCGCATGAAAATGTTTCAAAATATCATAAAATCCTATAGAAGATAGTGATTATAAATATAATTATTATAGAGGACCGACATAATTATAGTCTGTGTTTTTTGAAGATGGAGTAAATGACAGTTCATTGCACAAAAGTGTTGTCCGCTTACAAGCTGCTAGTGATTGTTTGTTCGACTGCTGGCCACAGGTTCATTTGAACTGTCAATGTTTGTAAGTTCATACATACACTGCATTTAGAACTTTGTCTATTAAAAATACTAAGATATATTTTAAATTTTTATATATTTTAATATAAATAATCAAATCCGCCTGTTCTTGTTAAAACGTATATCAGTAAAAATTTATTTCGACACTAGTAGGGCAACTGTCAAAATAAGAATGAAAAAGGCATTAACGCAATTAGTAATCATTAGAACGTCGTCGTAACATGGGGCTATGTTAAGTGTGTGCGTTATTAAAAAAAAACTTTCACAATTCAGACATTTTTGGCAAGTTTTCCTTCTTTCACAATCTATCGATAAAATTGTCGACAACAACTACATGACTATTTAAAATTTTATGAAAACTGGCAACCCCGCAAATGTCATTTTACTCCGTGTTAAAAAAAACAGACTATATGTGGTACAGAATTTGATACATCGTCGGACTATAAGGCATTCCGACTGCCAACTGCAGTCCGCTTACAATAACAATGCTGTCCGTTTGCAGTTATAATAATATTTATTCACTGAATAGTGTACATCGGTAAGCTAAAGAACTTAAATAAATTTGGCAATAGAAAGTATTCTTCAAATAGATTAAGCCACTGCTGGGCACAGGTATCCTCTCAGGCGAAGGTTTAGGCCATAATCCGCCACGCTGGCCCAATGCGGTTGGGGACTTCACACGTTTAATGACAGTGCAAGTTTCATCGATATTTTCCATCACCGAATAGCTCATGGTAAATTTCAAATTAAATTTCGCACATAAATTCCGAAAAACTCAGAAGTGCGAGCCCGGGTATGAACCCACGGCATTTGTTTAATAGGCGGTGAGTGAAACCGTTAGGCTTCCACGTCTTGTTTCAGTTATTTTAGGAGATTATATTACTAATTTCGAAAAAGAAAAGCGTGTGCGCGCGCATTCGTGAATGCTTTTTAGTGCCAATGCAGCTTGTGCGACTAAGCTTTGACTTACATAAATTTATCTTTTAAAAAGCAACAGTTTGCATAGCCTTAACCAGTGAGTGATAATTGCAATAATAATAATTTGTTTGTTTTTTTTGCAGTGATAGAAATATGTGCAGAAAACGCTAACCTTCTAGTAGAACATTCGGAAAATGGTAAAAATACACAATGGATTACCAACATTTGTCAAGAGACCGATAGTAAATTAGAAGGTAAAATATCATACATAAATATTTACGATAAATAGACATAATATACGATGAAATTTATTTATTCAGCAAATTTTATTAAATATTAATTCGTTGTCAGGACACCCTGCAACATTTTCTTTATTTTAAGATATATTAAAAAAGCTATAAAATTATACTTAGCCAATTATAGGATACACATAAAATATTTTTCTATTACCAGGTTATTAGTAAACCTACCCTAACATATTTTTCTTTTTTTTATAATATCAAGTGACGGGACGAACAATTGGTGGGGCACGACGATGGTGAGCTACAAGCCTGTCCACAACTGTTGCAGTGCCACTCAGAGCTTTAAGTCGCTAAGATCTGAGGGGCACTGCCACAGCGCTCGTCACCTTGAGACATAAGTTGACAATCCTCATGTGCCTGTGATTTTGTCATAGAATCTTAACTGAAGTTTTTTTTAGAATTAAATCACATAATAGTGAAATGTACTCACTCAATATTTAATTGAGACGCTTTATCTACTATAGCGGAGCCGATAAGAGAGGTGGGTTCATCAACCAATAGTATTACATTATTGTGACATCTCCACGTCGCTTAGTCATGGTTGATAAGAACCTACCACATAGGATGACAACATTTTAATTTCATTTAAAAAAAGTAAATAATTTAAATGTATTCAATTGAATACCTAACTTTTAAAGTTGCATTCTGGTACGTCTTATTTTCATTTCACGTTATATTAAATCGTATGAAGCTGACGTTATATAAGAAATTTATATGAGATAGTAAAACACAGTTATTATTAGTATTGCTTTGTTATTTATTAATATTTACGAGCATGTATTTGTTTGTTTCAGTATTAACTAGGCAGTACAGCACGTGTGACGAAGTGAATCTCACAATCTTGCCGACACGAAATGAGGAGTCAACAAATAAAATCCTTATGAAATTAAAAAGCACTTACTCTACTTCATTTTGGAAACAATTTGCTACTTTGACAAGAAGATCTCTTCTGGTAAGGAGATTTAAAAACATCAAAATATTTTTTAAGTTGATTATAGTATATATACTCATAGGCAGTAAAAATTGCGTTACGCTACTATTGACTTCAATGTACGTCTTGTCTTTTTTTTTAGCATTTGACATAAGGAAATTTTGGGTCTTTTATCTGGCACCAGTTCATTGCGTCATTTCCTATTTATAAATTAAATGAAAAATTTGTATCTTTACATAAAAAATTAAAATAAAATTTATTTATCCTCTCACAGAAAACATAAACATAAAAGTACAGTTTGATCAACAAAGGTGCTGCGAGAAGGATCACGTTACGTAGTACGTAGAGTTACTAGACATGGCCTGTCTTGTAGGCAACCAAATTCACAGAGAATTAAATCATGTTAGGCAAAAATGTCTGTAAGAAGGAGTGTTTTCACATAACAATAAATACTGTAGAAGTGGTTAGTTAGCGTCAGACGCGTGCGAACTATAGGTTCGAAAGACCTACTTGCGCTCAGTCTGTCAGTCCATTTTCGCTTTGTATGGTAAAGTCAAAGTCAAAGTCATACTGATTAAACTCTACTACTCATTCGTAAGGCAGATTCCCCTGGGAAGAATGAGCAAGAAACTCTAGGGGTTGCTCTTTGTAAATATACATTTGAATACATTTATCATTACAATATTTAATTTAAACATCTTAGATCGTGATTACTTGAAAGAAAGCAATTTCGAATACCTTGATTACCCTACTTAAAAGGATATGCCCGAAATGTAACATTTTAAGTAGTTATTTTTCATATATTTTTGAAATAAATCTTCAATATTTTCTAGTTACTGAATTAACGAAAAATATAATAATACATTGCTATAAATACCTAATAGACAAGTATAATTAGAAGGATTATATTAATAGAATCATAGATAACAGATTCGCGTCAGAATTTTCGCTATGTTGCCGCTCTCACCACGTAACGTAATAGTGCGAGAAAGTGATGGGTAACCCTGCCACTTCACGCACACATTTGCGTGTGTGCAGATAGCGCCTTGCTGTATTTAGTAGTAGTAGGTAAATAATTTTCGACTGTTGTATGGAGTGTCCGGGGTGTGTCAGCACATCACTTACTTTATTTCAAAGACTTGCAATGTAAAATCAATCGCAGTGGTCCGACGGTTTGCATTGTGAACGTTGGACGAGGAGGTTCCGTTTCCGATAGGCCCAATTTGGGAAAGTAACTTGTCTAAATTAGTCGCTGATCTGGGTGTTCCGAATAGTGCCATGCCCCCGTACTCATAGTACAAGGAATTCCCTAATTTGAGGCCAGGTAATTAATGTGGTTGTCTTGAACCATATTTTTATTTAAAAAATTTAAAGAAACAGAGCTTCCAAATATTGAACGGATTTTTTTTTATGTAATAATAGCATATTGTCGTGTCATTTGTAAATTTAGTAGAGTAGAGGTCATGGTGAAAGAGTGAAAGAGTTCGTCCAGGGTAGTATTTCCACCTTAATTTTTTATGCCGCCAAGCAATAATGTCAGCATTACTGTGTTCCGGTTTTGAAAGGAGGGTGCTGGTGAAATTACAAGGACATGGGACTTCTCAACTTATATCTCAGGGTGACGAGCGCAGTGGTAGTGCCCCTCAGATCGTTGCAATTTAAAGCTCTGAGTGGTGCTGTAACTGTTATGGACAGGCGTGTAGCTAACCATCTGGCGCACGATTTGTTCGTCCCGTCACTTGATGTTATAAAAAATCACCAATTCTGACTATATTTTCCATTACAGTTGTTTGTTAACTGATGAAAAGGTTTACCGATCACTGCTTCTTTGTTTACGTTTTTTTCTAATCTAAAAAAACGAAGTACGTATAGGCAATTCAATCTCTTCCATCAATCAAAATCATATCAAATATCATTTTCAACTACCATCACTAGACCGTTGATCTTTATTTACCATATATTCTATTTTTCAGTCCCTGTGGCGAAATCCGTCGTTCACAATAATGATTACTGGCATCCATTGCGCGATGGCTTTGTTCGTCGGATCCCTCTTCTACAATATTGGAGGCGATGCAAAGTACATCAGAGACAATTTCAATTTTTTAAACTATAGTCTTTTGTTTATCATGTTTACTTCCTTCAGTGCTGTTAGTATTACATGTAAGTATTTTGATTATATTATGCTAGTTGGAAGAATGCCTACGAATGCTACGTAGAGGGTGCTGGATTAATTTCCTAACATTGATTCTTCGTGAATCAATTTAATTACGTATTACTAAAACTAAATTTAGATATAGAAGAATCTTCGACAATATTAAGTCGCCATCCAGCTTTGACTCACAGTGGCGGACAATGACCTAGACCATCTCTTGCATATTCATCGGCTGGACACCGTGAGACGTGCCCAGCTATTAATGAATGATATTTATTTGCCTAATATATGGTTAACAAAAGGTGGTACATATACTTTGACAGCACTCATATTTTACCAAAATTGCCACGCATTCTAAAAGTAAAGTAATCCTTAAGTGCTTATTCAATCTATGCACAAAGTAAGTAAGTGAAGTTTTTATAGCCAATGATGTGGTAAATATTGTGTACATTGAAAAAATGCGGTACTTCTTTATATTTATTATACGAAACGTATGAATCCAGTCCAATAATTATTGTTGTTCCTTCAAATGATGTTGAAACACAAAAAAAAATGCTACTTAAAATCTTGTGGGTATTATTTACGAAATTTAATTGACGGAATGTGTCATTTTTATTTTAAAAATTGGTGATTCCCACGGCTAGTTATCAAATATCAATTAAAAAAAACCAACATCAGTTGCTATTTTTCAATTTGTTTTTGTTCCAGTCCCACAACAGTTCCCAATAGTGCGCCGAGAGCATTTCAATCGCTGGTACATGACGAGCGCGTACTACGCAGCCACATTGATATCGGCAATTCCTACCCAAACAATCTGCACTCTTACATACGTCTTCATCGCGTATTGGATGACCGGCCAGCCTCCTGACACCTTAAGATTTTTAGGGTTCATTTGGATGCTCATGCTTGTGTCGTTTGTCGCCCTCAACGTTGGGCTTTTGAATGGCTCCATGTTTGACGTGAAGGTAATGTTTGATGTTATTTATAGCAAATTCGTAACATCGTAACCTTATAATGAACCCATGCTGTGTTTTAGTTTTAATATCCTGTTCAACTAACGACGACGTCTTGCCGACTACTGCTTCGTGTGTAATACTGAAAACGATTTGCTTAATGATTGAGGCCAAAACGTGCAAAAAGTTCAGAGTACTTCCCTGCCTCCCGCACCATTTCACGTCATATCGTTATAAGACATTTTGTTCATTAGAAAGATCTCGATTTTTTTAGTAGGATTGCAATTAAAGTAAAAATGCAATTTTTTTTATTTAATACCCTGTTCATCCAATGTAACGATGTGAAATTGTATAAATCTCCTATTTAAACAAAAAAAAGTTATCGACTAATTTCATTCTTAGTTTCTTTAAACCTCTCATTAATTTCAGTCATTTTGCGGACATGGCCGTTTCACACCAAGCGAATTCTGTTTTGTAATAGTTATTGATATTAGCGGTTTGTTAGCAAGACTATGCATAATGTGGAGTTGTCCAACCTATTAACGTTAAAGATTATTGTCTTAGTGTAAAATGTTATAGTCATGTTTTCTCTGTCTAAATTTAATCAATTTACTCAAATGTACAAAACGCGAGTTAATCCAATCTTTTACTCTTTTCAGCATGGAGTAATCTTCGGGCCGTTCTTCATAATGCCGTTTGTAATTTTCTCCGGGTTCTTTCTTCTCTACAAAGATGCCCCCGTCTTCTTCAAATGGCTGTTTCATATATCATTTCTGAAACACGGCTTAGTTGGCATTGTGATTTCTATATTTGGCATGGAGCGTCCTAAACTTCCATGTTCAGACTTGTACTGCCACTACAGGTTTCCCAAACTATTTATTGAAGACCAAGGTATGGAACAAGAGCAATATGGCCTTGCTGTCATTTGTCTCATGGGTATCGCAGTGGTAGTAAGTGCTTGTACGTACGGTATACTGAAAATTAGACTACGGACTAAGTGATGAATTGCCTTATTTAATTTGTACAGGGTAATATTCCTATGAATACTGATAACGTATGTGATCATGTGATTTCGATGTGGTGTTTGTGTAAAAAAATATTTTGTAATAATAGATATATTTCTCGTTAAATTTGTTTTGTACTAGTGTTACCTGAAACAGCACCACTTCGATGAAGGGAACGAATTATATTTGCAAATATTAAGTACTTGCAAATGTCATTCAAAACAGATTTAATGCTCAAAGTTGTTATGCACAATGATAGGTAACTTCTAGGTTATGAAGTTATATTCACCACTTTTTAAATTCTTGGATTCAATATGTTGTAAACTGGTAATATGGAGTATAATAATATATATTTACTAAGAATCATAGTTATTTCGACCTAAGTTTAAAAAACTGCTAGCTAGAGATTTTAAGATAAGGAAATGCCAATGAAACTAGAATTCAAATAGAGAGCATGTAACTACAAATAAAAATGTACTATGTACCTCACATATTAAAGCTATAATCTGTGATTTAGGAGAAATTTTATATCATATTTACTCAAATGACTGTGAAAAACTAATGCATTCACTTTTTCTGTACGTCACACCCTATGCACACCTTTGTCGTTACATTCCATATACATATAGTTTTGCTGCCCTTGATTATGACTTGGAAAATAAATAAGAAACAAATTAAGTAAGTGCTTACTGGTTACATTTGGAATTGTGGTAGTTCATTAAACGGTGACTTTGAATTAGTTCTTTGAATTTCCCAACGTAGTGGGAGTCCACTATTGTCCTTGCCTTAAAGAATTTAAATGATCGAATCCTATAAAGTAATATAATTTTTAAATCGCTTTTTTTATTTATAAAATGAACGGTATCACCATGTACAGTCGGTGCCCTCACTTAGGTATCCACTATATGTATAGCACTTATTACGGATACCTAAGCGAGGGCACCGACCATACAAAAGGGGCCACGAAGTGTGATAAACTCGCACAGTATTATGTATCACATAATCCATTGTATCTTTTTTATTTTATTTTAACGTACATGGGTTGTAATAAGTGAACATTCTTAAAATAGTGTCGCATAAACCTGTTAGTGATTTTTGTGTGCACCGGTGCTTATCATTTTATGATTAATAAACGCAAATAAGGGTAAGAATATATTAAATACTACTTTGATTGATTGTTAATCGTGTTATCTTAATTTTCCGTTATGTGCCATGATGATGTATTTAAAAGCAGACAAGTTATTATTGGACCCCGATATTATAATTATTCATTAACCTACTAACAAATTATTGCATAAAATCTGGAGAACAAATTCTATAAGATTCTGCAATATGGTAAAGAGTGAAATAATTGCCTTCAGAATATGAATATGGTTTTATTCTGATATTAAGTACCAAAGTAATTCGTATAAAATGTACCTTGAATTCTTTGCCAAAGTGATAAAATCCATAGTGTAAATAAGTGAATACAATCTTAACATTATATGTTCAGAGTTATTTATTACGTATAACTATAACAGGTTATATGAATTGTTTTTTATTAAGTATGTATTGAGTGTATATAATTGTAAACAATATCTATAATTTGTTGATTTATATGCTGGTGTTTTAAATTACTAGGAACTTTGTTCGTGTTATGTGTTACTTGTATGTCTTTGGTATTCATCTAAAAATTTTAATTCTCGAATACCAAAATATAACTTGTATTAATGATTACATTACCGTAAGGGCAACTAAAGTTGGAAGTTGCAAATCGTTTTCACATTAGTGAACCTTTTTAAAGGTACTTTTTCTTACGTTTTAATCAACTATAATATATCATATATATGATATATGTATAAAATATTTATGTATACAAGCCATATAATTACGCATAAGCCGGCGAAGTGTAATTAATGTAATAAAGACTGTAATATGAAAAATATGCATTACCAATTCATTTTCTGAAAATTGTAAAGTGTTGGTTATATATTTCTTAAACAAAACACGTTACTCTTTAGTTTTATTTATACAGCTTGAGGGTTTTTCGTTAAGATTTTGCGTGCTCTCGACATCATTAATATAAAATATAATTATAAGGTATGAAATAAACGAATACGCAGGGTTATTTGTAAAATACTAATCATCTTGCAGGACTATATTAATAACAGCATATACAACAACTTTTGTTCCACGACATAAAATAATTCATCACTTTCGTGCAAAAATAAATAAAATATTGAAATAGATCGCTCTAAACCGTGATAACTCATTATTAATAAATTTTTCTCACTGCTGTGCGGTAACAAAAGAAAGTGCTAGCGTAAATACGAGTCCGATGAAAAACGCAGGAGCAGGGGAAGGGGTCGTCAGCGAGGACGCTTTCACGTTTCAACCTACTACCTTACTACCAAATACAGGTACAAAAACTGTCATAATATAGTACAACAAAAACGTTTTGTAAAAAGTCGTGGAACAAAAGTTATTTATTGATGTTGGCAATATATATATATATATATATTAATCCTGCAAGGTTGTTCGTATTTTGCAAATAACCCTTATATAACAACTGCTAAGTTATATTTTTGAATTTAAGGTGTAAGTTGATGAAATTACAGACACATGGGACTTGTCAACTTATGTCTCAGGCTGACGGGGGCGCAGTGGTAGTGCCCCTCAGATCTTTGCTATTTAAAGCTCTAAGTGGCACTGTAACTGTTATAGACAGGCGTGTAGCTTATCATCAGGTGCACGACTTGTTCGTCCCGTCACTTGATGTTCTAAAACAATAAAAAATATTTATGTACAGTAACTATCAGCGCCGGCGCTATGTAGACCCCAGGCGCAATCAATCAATACCCCTGGCGCCTTCGATTGGGCTGGCGCCTTCGATTAGGCTGGCGAAAGAAATGGAATATTGATCCCCAGTGATCGGAAATTAATTTTCAGGTGCAAATGGTGCAATTATAAACGATGTTTGGTTTTTGTGACGATGGTTTTTTGTAACTTTTGAGGTTAATAACATATAAGGATACATTTAACTTACGTTGTATATTAGATAGTAAAGAAATATATCTCGTCATTATAATTTTACCGTAAAAATGAACTATTTAAGTTGAAAAACGAATAAATTTATTTTCCCTTGATTCTTGTTGTTACAAAATTACCAAACACTGATGGTTTAACACGATAGTAGGTTATGTACGGGTAATATTGAGTTGATTGTGCTCATAACAGGCTTTAAACGTAATACGTACCCTATGATCAATAATGTAGGCGATTAAAACACGTAAGGAAGAAACCAACATCATTCATTTAAATCTATAAATCAACCGATTATAGCATGTAGCTATAAGCCAAATTCATATGTTTCAACATTCATTCCAGTGACATCTTTTTCAACCTCGTCGTTGTCTTCTTTTCCACCAATATTATAAACACCTAGTAAAATTAAAGTAAAAGTATGTGCTTTGTTAATGCATCTTAAAATTAGTCGCTTATAGAGCCGCTACTAAGTTTTATATTATTAAGTTTCCATAAAATATTTTAAGCGCAGCAGCAGTGCCACTATCGTGACATGGCGCACACTATTTTTTAGACTAGATATTGCATGAAAATTAATAGTGGAGAGGCTACCGCGCCACAGATGCGTCACTGCAGAGCTTCTATAAACGTCTAATTTGAACGCACCCTTAGTCTTAAAGCAGAATGCCGAACAGAGTAAAAGAGAGTGTCGTCGTGTGGTGAAAGATTATGTGGTAATGTAGAAAGGATGAACGTTAGTAGATTTAAACGGGAAAAGGTAGACCCCGATGCACATGACTCGATCAAATTGGAGATGTCTTTTAAAAAGACCAGGTTAAAGTTGTAAATAAGGCACCTATGAAGAAACTGATGCGATTGGAGGAGTTGAAAGTGATTTTGTCAGGATCGTAGCATGTGGAGGCTTATGATCTCTACCTAATCCAGCTGGAGACATGCGTGGTTAAAAGTATGTATGCTCACCGAAATCGTATGTGGTACTTATTAATTTAAGATATGATTATGTTTTGCGGAAGTCAAAACGTTTGGTAAAAGTTTTAAGCGAAACGAGATGTGGGATATGGGTAATATTTGTTTAATCTTCTGCTTATCATCGATGGCTTGCGTGCTATCGTGGTGAAAGGATTTGCCAAGTGGCGTAAGGTACTCGCCGATTGTTGCCCAGGGGTACGTTGATACGTTCGTCATGCGGGGAGACTTCTTTCGTGCACACCCGATTGTGTAAGTTCGTGAACAATCGTTTAATAAAAGTCTCGAGTCTGATCTCAGTATCTGTTTATTCGGATTATTAAGATTTGATGATTTTTTTGAAGTTTTATTTGTGAAAACACAAATAAAACTCCTGTTACTTGGTTTAATACATGATCATTATGAAAATAGGATTTCTCCGTGTTTGCAATGATTAAGTAACACTTTATATGTACTTTTCCGTATTTTGCAAAAATGTGTTCTGTGTTATTCAAAAATCTCTCACTAGATGTCACTAGCGAAGAACTATAACAAAAACACATAGGAGAATTTCGACGACTCGGTAACTGTGGACCCGTGGCTTAGGTGATTAGAGCAATGCTACGGTGCAGTATGGGCGTGGGTTTAAGTTCCACCGGGTCGACGAAAAACTTTTCTGTGTGTTCGATCTTTGTATTCATAATAATAACAAAACTAGTGGAGTTATTTCACCAAAAATCGCAACATTTAAATAAATCTGATATAATTTAAAAGTACGTTGTTTTACAATAGTGCAATAATCATTAAATCACTCTTGGGTAAGAAATATCTTTTTGGGACTCTTTTAATTATATGCTATCCATTAGGGATATTCGTTGAACATCGATGTAATGAATCCATTCGATGTTTATCGTACGATACATCGATTTGATTCGATGTTTTGACAAGAAGAAATTCTATTCGATGCATCGATATTTTTTAATAAAAACATCGAATCATAGAAAACACTAAAACTTGCTTGCTTCCTTGCGTGCTTCTGTGTTTCAATTTGATATTATAAGTCATTTAGTGTTTGTTTTATTTGCATTTATAATCCTGGCTTATTTCATAATAGATAGAGATAAATAAGTTCGATATATATTTAAGTGAAGAATTGAATATGTCGAGCTTATTGTCTATTAGGTAAACTGTCTACCTAATCGCAAAAAAAACATTCCTACAAGGAATTATTCTTGCGTAAAACATTTATATTAATTTACGGTTTTTTTTTCACCTACAAATGTATGTCTTACCAATGCAATACTGCAATACTATTTTTTTTATGTTCCTGGCTTCTCTTGATCAGTAAACTAACACACAGTATCATAAAATTAATCGCCACTCTATTAGTATAGTGTTACTTAGCATTCACTGTTAAGCTAAGAAAAATTAAAAAGTATTCGATGTTTTTAAACGATGCATCGAAAAACATCAATACACATTGAGTTGTTTCAAATCTTAATTTTTTTACGCACCTTTTTTTATTAAGAGTTTTGATTTGGTTACAAGTCCTTTGAACCATGTCTTCGTTTAATTATCGGTATTCTCATTAAATATTTTCCAATGTGGTTCTACAACGTTATGTTTTCATTTTCTCTAAATAACTTAGTTCTCTAGTTTGGGCTTTCTAAATAGTCTTTTAAACGGCGCGAGTCAATATTTATGTCTTCACATTCACTTATATCACATTATTGTCACTTTGATTGAACAAAAACTTTGAATTCGTAATTATTGGAATTTTCAGTATAAACTCCTTCGAAACTTGGTTTAAAAACAGGAATATAGTTCTAACTTTCTTCATCACTATTTCTTTCTTCGTATTTTCTTCATAATATACTTAAAATAAAATCAATC